CCATCCATCCATCCATCCATCCATCCATCCATCCATCCATCCATCCATCCATCCATCCATCCATCCATCCATCCATCCATCCATCCATCCATCTTTACTTGTTTCTTTCTTTTCGGGTCACGGGGGTCACAGGTGCCCATATCCATGTCTCCAGTCCATCACAGAGACACATAGAGACAAATGAGACAAAAAACCATTCACTCTCTCACCTTGGGACAATTTAAAGTTACCAATCAGTCTAACATGCATGTTATTGGTCTGTGGGAGGAAACTGGAGTACCCAGAGAAAACTTATACATGCACAGAGAGATCATGCATACTCCACCCAGAATGACTGTTTTTAAGTTACTTAATTTAATTTCAGTTTTAGTGCATGATATGCAAGTGGGTAGGAGTTACACTGTGTAGAAGAACACAGGTAGTTCTTTTTTATTTTTTGCTTGTTCAAGGCAGCGCAGAGTGACGGATCCTGGTGAGTGGAGGGAGAAATTTTGTCCACCACCAGGAGCAATGGTGGAACCATGGGGTGGGCAGTGGTGGCCTTGACCACCATACATTAATATTTGGCCACCCCAATTAATTGAGGTAACTATAGTTTTAAACAAATATAAAAACTAGAAAGCTCCTTAAAATATTATTGGTGGTCAACTAACTTTTATGTGGCAACCTAATATTAAAAACTAAATTTTCTTATGCCTATATGCAGCAACACACCAAAATGGAAGTTGGGACCACCCTTATTTTTCATGTTCTCGTGCACAGATGGAAGGACGGATGGACGGATGGACGTATATTTCCTATTTATCTTGGTTTGCTTTGCGACGGGGAACACAGTTTTTTGTAACTTCATGCAAAATGTCTGACAACCACAAGGTCCCAGTGAACATTTTATGTAAGTGACAAATATCCAAAAACATTAATCAAATGCATCACCAGAGCTGAGCCCATACTGCTGGGCTTACCTCAACCTCCAAAAACAGCTAATAACGACCAGAATCTGGTTAGCTAGCATGCTACATGTTTGTTTGTTTGACGTTTGTTTCAAGAATATGTCATATACCTTTAAAAAAATAACAATTACTGTATAAGTAATGTATTTTTAGTAATGTAAAAAATATGGAGAAAACTATCTAAAGGCAACAATTAGCATTTGAGCTACACATTTTTCTATTAATTGAGACTTTCTGATGTAGTACTTTGTGACATGCAAAAAAACATGAACGTACTCAGATAATTACTAAATCTAAGCTTTGGACCACAATACAATTATTTAGTCTGTTCATTTTTTTATTATGGCCCATCAATACCAGTAGCTTGTATCATAAGCTGTGGCATCATGGAAAGGCTGGGCTAATGGCTAGCCAAACGAGGGCCTGGTTATGGTTTTTAGGGTTAAAAAAGTCTCTCTTAAACAAATGATCAGGCTACATTAGATCATTTAATACCGCTGCACTTTAGCACAATGCCGTCTGTTTAGTTAGGCACTTTTTTCTCTACTGGAGATCGTGTTACTATGTGACTGTGTGCATGTTGTCATTTTGATGAAGCTGCTGAATGGATCAGCCCACAGGTGGTTTAGTAAACTTTTGCATGACCTACATGCACATACTACTAGTGCTTAGTGTATTTTTAGTTTAATGTTTTACTTAATTCACATCTTAGATCTAATTACTGTTTTTCTTTCACATTTTATTGTTGGATGTAACTGGGGCTCTGTGTACACAAGTTTGTTCCACCACATGTACCACATGAGGTGCGAATGACAAATAAAGAAACTTTGACTTTGATGATGATCTGGAAACACACATTCAGCAGCCTTAAAAACCATCGGCCTAGACAATTTATGCTCAGCACACATGTTTGCTTAACACCACACAAGTTCAGTCAGCAGCAATACACTAAACCCCGGCGTTCACTCCGGTCCTCTAGGGCCACTGCCCTCCTGTTTACTCGTGTCCCTCCTCCAACACTCATTCAATGGTGGAATTACCTCTTCTTTTTCTACAGAAGCCTGCTAACAACCCATGGATTCAAATCAGGTATGTAAGTACCAAACAATACTTCTGCCCCCCAGGCATCATGTAGTGTTGCATGTGCTTATTCAGCATAACACAAACGCTGCAAAAATCAGAACATACTTTTATGGTCTGTGTTCAGTGAAACATCATTTTTAACCATAAACTTTACAAAACCATCAACAACAACGTCAAAAAATCTTACACTTGCCATTTCTAAAAGGTTTTAACGGGTTTCAACAAACAGCTTGTGTCCCCCCCCCAACACACACACACTGCAGAATGTCGGCGTCATTATGCGCTTGTGTGTGAGTGTTTTTTTTTTATTTTCAGGCTAATATCTTCAGAGCATGTTAGGAATTTTATTGCCTTCAAAACCCGTGTTGTCACTTTCACCACTTTATTGTGTGTCCAAACAGGTCTCACTTGAAAATGAGTCTTCGAGGTTCAATGTGACTTATCTGTTTAAACAAAGGTTGAATGAATGAATGAAAAGTATTCAAATATATAGTCCAGTACCTGTAGTCATTTTAAAGTGGTACTCTGTCAAAAATTTACTTATAGTTTGTAGCTGTGACATGGAGCACAGAGAAAGAGGCAGAAGTCTTTGTCCAGGCTACGTTAATGGCTAGCTAAACACGGCCTGTTTATTATTTGTCACAGTTATTTCTAACAGTTATAACAGTTATTTCTACTCCATGACTGATGTCACAACTAATAACGTACAAACAACTATTTGACAGAAAATCACGTAAGAAATAAATGTATCAATTGGGCCCAGTGAAGCAATCCTCAACTGTAGATTAAAAATGAGCCATTTCAATTGAACTCTTTTCACTTCTTCATCGTGGGTCTACTTGTCGAGTGTGACAGCACGTTAGCTCCACGATTCCTGTTCAGATAACTGTGACCTCTGGCCCGTGCTTCTCACTAATGAGCTGCTGCTCAAGCCGTTGGAGACTTAACATCTTTTGTGCCAAAAGCACCTTTCTTTTTGTAATGAGGGAGAAATTCATGTTTCACTTCACTGCGAAGCAAAGAGGCCCTAATGAGTTCCTCTTTCCTTTACTTCCCTCCAAAAACGGCTGCTCCTCAGTAAATCTTTGCTCTTTGCTGGATCTTTAAGTCAGTGGTTCTCAACCCTGCTCCCTGAGGAACACCATCCTGCATATTTAGTTGTTCCTCTGCTTCACACACCTGGTTTGAATGAAAGGTGATTAACAAGCTTCTCCCGAACTTAAGGAAGTAAAGAAACCACTGAATCAGGTGTTGGAGCAGGGGAACAACTAAAATGTGCAGGATGGTGTTCCTCAAGGACCAGGACTGAATCTTTAACAGACAGAACAGGTCATTTTTACAGTTCAACCACGTGGTTCTGCACAGAATGAAGGCGCATTATTATTTCCCACTAACAATATTGCTTTTGCTTGTATCTAACTGTCAGCAATACATTTGAAGCTCTAAACCAATTTTAAAGACACTCTCAGAAAGTAACAGGATGAACATATTTATCTGTGTAACTTTTAAAGTCAGCCTAATTCAAGATGGCTGCCACAACCAATTTACATTCCAAAACACAAAACTTGGTTAACAGACTGCACAAAATGTTCAAACTTTGCCTTCAATCACTGAAATGAACTCTGTGTCTGTTGATAATATATCATATGAGTTATTGGATCACTTTAATTCACTTTTCATTTGATTATCCTGATTCAACTCACTTCAATCTTATGAAATACCAAAATGACTATAATTAAAAATGTGGCAACTTTGTACATTGTGCAAACACATCTAACGGATGTACATCTACAAATATTTACTTTAGATTTAACCACTTTAGACCGAGCGAGCAGCTCAGTCGCTCACATGCTCTCAGTGCAACATCTCAAAGTACGTGATTTACACAACATTGCACATTACATTATTTTCAAGATTTGACCAAAAAGTGCTACAACTTTGTCATTTCTCAACATGAGATGTTTTAGTTTGAAACTCTGGTATGAAAAGCAGATGAGATGTATTTCTTGACGCAATGCTAGCACTTTAATTGACAAAGTGTTTGTTGAATATTGACCGTATGCAGCGGTGTAGTCTACGTGATACGTGGGCATACGGAGTATATCCACTAGAAACGTGTCACTGATATGTTAAACAGTAGTTAAACGTTTCTGCAACAATATGTCTGTATGCAGCACTTGTTTATTACATTCACTTATCCAGCAAATTATTATTATATAATTAATACTTATGTACTTACTACTTAATACTTGAACATGTTTTGCTTTGATACTGTTTTCTAAATTTTATAACATGTTTTTTTTAATACAAAGCCAACTGTTGTACAAAGTTTCTTGTACATTTATTCAAATATAAGCATCAGAGATATTTGGAAATGTTCAATATGCTTAAAAATCAAAATAAATTGATGATTACGTAGTACTAATCAGTGTACTTTGGTTTCTCAGCGCAGTACATGGACTGACTGCAGTAAAGTTAGTTTTACGTTGGACATTCTCGCTCTGTGGCTTCAGCGGTGTCTGATGTAAAACTACATGTACCGTGGTATACCCACTTCAGAAATGTAGACTACACCGCTATGGTATCCGTCATGACAATTTATCTTGTCATGATGATAATAACAGTATTATCAAAGTCTTCATCAGTCAGTGCAAAACATAAAAATAACAATAAAAAAACATCTAAAGCCATCTCACTCTTTTGCCCTTTTCAAACACGCAGTTTAGTTCAGTTCGTCCTAAAAAAGTATAAAGTTACCCCTCCATCACAAAGTACCCTGATCAGCAAAGAACCCGCCTTCTTTCTTCTTCCTTTTTCTCAGTCTGTGTGCTCTCCAGCAAACCGCTGCCACCAGCAGCATCACCACACCGACACACAGCAGCACCACCGACACCACTTTTGTCTGCGGTAGGGTATTAAACGTGAACGTAACCCCAGTGCCCGCCATGCCAATCACAAGAGAGATCACCCCAAACGGAAACACACAGCGGTACCAGGACTTCTCTGTCCCGCCCGTAGCCTGGGCAAGCCTCTCAAGTGTGTGAAGGGACTCTGGAGGTTTGGGCTGCCCTGTTCCAAGGCTGTCCTCCTCGTCCCCGTGGTCTCCACAGCCGTTCAGACTCTGGTTCTGGTTGTCACAGTCCTGAGGTAAGGTGTTGCCAAAGTCCAGGTCGGGATGGAGGACAGAAGCTGGGGGCTGACGACCTGAGGAGCAACCCATCCTGGAGCTTCTGTCCTTGGCTAACAGAGCAGAAGAGGTTGTGTGTGGTTAGGTCCTTTCAGTGTGTGTCTAAGAAAAGCTGCTGTGACGTAACAAGGGGGGTTTCTGTGACGCCGCTTTCAGGACTTGCTGTGAGCATGTGCCTGCAGCTGGGGAGACGGAGTGAAAGGAGCTGAAAATAGAGCAGTAGATGAGAGAAGGAATAGAACAACACATGACCAGGTTACCATTTCAACTGGTTTACTGACATTTACAGAAGAAAAAAGTAAAAACGACTACAACTCCAAAGAGAAAGATCTCACCTTTTATTTTCTGTGTCCATCAGTGGAGAAATGTTTCCGGCGGGGATTTGTCTCGTGAGCTGCTCTCATGATGTGTGTGTTGTGATGCCGATGCTTGCAGACTATAAGAGCATCAGGAGTAGGAGGAGGAGGAGGGTCAGACAGGATGCCGGCACCTGATTGGCTCCCTTGCTGTCTGGCTTCAGAGGGGGAGGGTTGGGAGTGAGGTTCATCGTTCGGTGCTCTCATTCACTGAAATGAATCCATTATTTAGAATGATGGGAAATTTAAGACGCTCCCCTCATGGTGTGCGGTCCGCTGCTTGTCTGCAGGGATCAAAATGAAGCAGGTGATAATTGCTGAAATAAATGTATAGAATGATGCTGAAGTAGCAGTGAAGTTAAACTGGATTAGTTTCACTGCATTTCTGTCACAATGTCAAGCTTTCATCCATGATCATCATCCACCGACAGCAAAGAACAGCAATAATATTTTGTTTTCTCTCTCTCTATATCTGTTTTGCTGTGTGTGTGTGTGTGTGTGTGTGTGTGTGTGTGTGTGTGTGTGTGT